ACATATTTACTTTGATGAGTTCAAGGTAAGTGTAAAACTGTTGAATTTAATTGTACAAATTATTATTACTACTGCTGGTAATATATACTAATATTTCACTTTATTGTTTATAGAAAATATTTTGCCGGGAGCCTGATAAAGAGCCACTTGTGATCAAATGTTAGAACAAGGCAATTGGGGTCTTAAACACTGAGGCATTACATCATTGGCGTTGTAATACCAAGACACGACCTCAATGTATGTCAGAAGAGACATGGAAATTATACTTAGATCATTGGATTTCTCCAGAGTTAAAAAGAAGAAGAAATGAGCAAAATAGTTGGGCTCTCATACAGGAGGTTCCATTTACACAATAAAGTGGAATGAACGATTGGTATGTTTCTCATAATATATAATCTTTATATGATTAATATATTATTAATATATTTAATTCACTTATGTGAATGAATTTATTTTAGGAACATTGTACTGGTGAGATAATAGATTCACTTCCTCTTACAAGTTTACTCATACGAGTATGGATAACAAAGATGATGGGTGGTTCAGTGACAATCATCGAGAATTCATTGCACGTTATTCTCAAAATTATAATCAAAAGCTTTTCATTAACTAATGTTACTTATTTTTATTTATGGTAAACTACATAGTTGATCACTTTTATTTCAATTTTATAAACGTATGGTCATTGGATTGACAAATATTTAGACTCTAGAAATTACTTAATAGTTACTGGGAAATCCAGTTTTTCCCAAATTTTGGTGTTTTGTTGGTTTAAATTTACATTTGATAATAGTTTATTACTCATATTGGTTGCTCCATGTATGTATATGCATATTTTGGGTGTCTTTATTTATTTAGCAGATCCTATTAAGTGTGAAAATGTTTAGTGTTGTTGTTGCTTAGTATGACTGATAGGGAACAAATCAGATAGTGCAAAATGCTTACCCTTTTATTTAATATAATAAATTATCATTTTTGTAGAACAAGTATTTGCATACACTAGCAGCAGCTCAGGAGGCTACAAGTGTGGATGAGTCATCTTCAACATCAGCTGATCCAGATAAGATTTTTTTGGAGGTTGCTGGTGGTGTAAGCTCGAAGGGTCGGGTGTTTGGTGTTGGATCCGCATCTCCCATATATTATAATACGTCTCAGACTTCTGGTTCTTCAAAAATATCTATACCATGAAATCTAGAGCAACAAGAAGAGATCAATACATTAAAAGAGCAGTTAAGGCAAGTCCAAGAACGTCAAGATATGCTAATGAATTTATTAATGTCACAACAACAAGGATACTCTCATATGCTTTTCGAAGAAAACTAATAATTGACAATCAGGTCATAAAATGTTATTTCAATCAAATATTATATCATTATTAATTATCAATCACAAGTTGTTTTCAACTAATTATTTGTTTTTAGGTTTCTACCCTTCGATGCATCTTCCTCCTTATCCAGGGTTCAGTGCCATACAACCTCATATGCGTCCAAATCAGAGGCTCAACTAGCACTTCGATGCCTTTGCACCAGTTTGTTTTCAACTAATTATTTGTTTTTTAGGTTTCTACCCTTCGATGCATCTTCCTCCACTTTATCCAGGGTTCAGTGCCATACAACCTCATATGCGTCCAAATTCAGAGGCTCAACTAGCACTTCGATGCCTTTGCACCCACAAGCGAGAGGTAGCACACCTTTGGCACATTTTGTCCAACCACCCAACAATCAAGAAGAAACTTATTATCCGATTCCTCCATCACAACAATGCAATAAAGATAATGCTTCTTGAATTTCATATGATATTTATTTTTAGGTTTCCAACTTTACTTCAAGCTTTTTAATATTATCTGATGTTTTTGTTGAATTGTAATATTTCTATACTTTTATTTTTCTTATCAATGAAAATACAACAAGGTTAATGTGTTTTTCCTCCCTTGGGATATAAAGGGAGGTTTTTAGAGACTGTTACCTTGTTTATTACAAAAAAAAAATTAATGCCACACTTTAAACATATAATATACTACAAAAACAATTTAGATAATACTTCTTGAAATTACATTTTATTACTATCTATTTTACTAAAATTTTAAATAATTTTTGAATTTTTTAATATAGCTATTTAGACAACTAGATTAGAGAGATTGAGTTGGTTATTCGATCCAGCTTGTATGCCTTCGTGCTGCTGCTTGTGGCATTAGTTTCTACGGGAAGCATATTTTTTAAGTGCTTGGATGATTCTTTTTTATATGACAATTTTTAAAAAATATCTGATTTTTAGAAAAAAGTATTTTAAATTTGTGATGGAATATGTGGACCCATCACAAATTTGTGACGGATTATATGGACCCGTCACAAATTTCTGACAGATTCACCTATTCCGTCACAAATTGCTGACAAGTCCACATGTTCCGTCACAAAGTTTAGAGTTTTTCTTACTCGCTCTGCTTATTTCAGTTTCCCTCTATTGCACCATCAAATTTAAAACTTACCCGCTCCCCCTTATTTTCTCCTATTTAAACCTTTCTAAACACAATTTTCTCTCATTTCCTTGTTCTCATTTCATCTCTTCTTAACTTTTTTTTCTCTCTCCAAAAGTTCTCTTAATTTCATCCTCTTTTATTATCATCAATTATCAATATTGATGTAACTTCTAATTTTGTTTGATGTAATTTTTCTTAATACATCCTTTATTTATTATATTATTTTTAATTATTCACTAACATCTTTCATTATATTTTGTAGGTTACCTAGAAATTTTTAAATGATAATAATTCTTTAGTGTACAAACTTTTTATTTTACTCTTTCTTTATTATTGAATATTGTATTTTTATGTATAGTGTACAACCATATATTTATATTTATTAGAAACATTGTATTGTGAAATATATGTTGTAAATTCATGTTTAATCTTAGTTGATAAGATGAATTTAATTTTGTATCATATATTATTATTTTCTTATTAAGGCATTATCAAAATACAATATCAACTTGTTAGTATTATTATTATCTAATTTTTCAAATTAATCTAATTATTTGAATTATATTATTATTACTTTTTGGTACATTGATTAATTACACAAAAAATGGATTCATAATATTTTTTTTTGGAGGGAATAAATATATTTTCGGGTAGAATCCCAATAAATTTTCCTTATTTTTTAAAAAATTAAGATTTAAATTTTCGACGGAATAAATGTAATCCATTGGAAATTAAAAATTTAGATTTTCTTTTTATCTTTATAAATATCCCGACGAAAAAGACATGTTCATTAGAAAAATAATATATATATATATATATAATATTTCGACGGATTTTAAATATTTCGTAATTAATATACTGACGAATTTCTGTAAGTAAATTTCTAACGGTCTAGTTTATGACCTTGAAAATGTTGGTTTCAACCAGCGTTTTATTGACTACTCTATTCCCTCAGAAATTCCGTTAATAAACTCAAATTCTGACATAAATTCCCTCAAAAATTTCATCATCAATTACACATTTTTTTTAGTGTACTGATGTTGAGATGAGGGAGTTGGTGGATTGTATGGATGATTTGGTTCTCCTCGATCATTCTTATTTTGGGTCTTTGTTCACTTGGTCAAATAAGCAATAAGATCATTTGTTAGCTCGGAAGTTAGATAGGATTCTTGTTAATTTTGTTTGGTTTGCCGCTTTTCCGGATTCTTTTGTGGAGTTTATAGCGTCAGGGGTCTCTGATCATTGCCTTGATATTCTTTAGTTTAAATACTAATTCAAGATAAAATAGAAGTTTAAATACTAATTTAAAAACTATTTCCAACTTCAAGTATTAATTTGTATAGTAAACTTAATTATAACAATAATAATGAGATCCTTGATCATTATCTATGTTGAATGTTGACATCGGATACCTTATTTTTTTTATTTAATGTATGTTGACGTGGAAAACATTGGATTCTTGGAATTTCAAGACGTGCACGCATATTGACCAGATTTTTGCAGTAAGCCAACATGTAGAAGTTGGTGGAGTTTCAGACTTTTACGTAAACTATGGATCCCTAAACAGATTCTTATTTATATCTACACAGAGAAGTTGGATTATAATTTTGGACTGATATTTGACGTGAATTTCATACATTTTGATTTAAATATATAAAATTAGAGTTTTCTTAAGATGATAAGGTCGTATTAGATTTAAATTTAAGATAAAACTTTATCATCCAACTTAAAATAATATATCTTATAAATTTAAAAATAATTATAATAATATCATTACTGTGTATTTTTTCAATCAGTAAAACTGATTTTTAATGTCAATAAGCTCTCAAAGCTCAACTTTATCATATAAGAAAGATCAAAACATGGACCTTCAAATAAGACAAAATAAAATTTAAATATCAAAATGAAAATGAAAAAAATCCGTGAAATTATATACAAATCCATCCCCATGTGGGCATTCGACAAGGAAAATAAACAAAAAGGCTGGTCAGAACACAGAGTGGTTTCCATTCATGTCCCTTGCTTGCTTAGCTATGAAGTTTATTCAACATACTACGACTAACTTAACTAGAAAAAGAAGGATTATTCAGAAAAGGAAAGAAATAACATTAACGTAATAATGTTTTTACCGATGACTATCTTCAATTATGGAATAAATTTTAGTTTAATTTTCAATAAAAGTTACTTGATTGCTGAAATCAAGGCACCCTGGATTCATGAAGAGAACAGCTAGCTTTAGTACATTACCGCGTTTTGCAATTGCTGTCATTAATTTACACACATTCCCATCAAAATTCTCGTTCTCCCCCCAAAATATCCATACAAATTCGGATTAGATTAGATTGAGTCGAATTAACTCTCTAAATACAAGTCGAGTTTCGAGGAGAAGAATATGCTTCTCCAATCGATTCAAACACATGTTAGCCAGAAATCAATGAATGAAATGCTTCATTAAGCCCTCAGAGCTCAACTTTATCACATAAGAAGGATCAAAAACATGTCCCTTCAAACAAATACATCCCTGTGTTCTTCTTCTTCCTCATGTACATACACAAAACAAGCTACAAAGTCTCAAATCTTCAACGAAACCTTTGAAGATTTCAATGGCTTGTCCAAGAATCTCACCTATTGACCCTACAAGCAGATAAAGCTATTTACACAAACAATGCAACCGTGATATCAGACAGTTTCTTCTTGTTGATCGACCTGTGAGACCGCCATTGCGTAGGTGCGTTAGGAGCCTCGATGTCGTCTAATTCAAGATCGAGTGATGTCCTGAAAGCCTTCAGCTTTGTCGGAGTGCTATAAGCAAAATGCATCTTCTTTGCAATCACAGTCTGCAACATAGTTAAAAATCAAAATCAAGCAAAATTTTATGTACGATCCAAGATTTAAGTATGCATTAATGTACTCACAGCTTCTCTGATTGATTTAGAGACATTAAACAGCTGCTTCAAATCATCATGCTTCACACCACAAATGATCCTAATCTGCAAAAAGAACAGAAACAAAAAAGGGTTAATCTTCATTTCAATCGCAAACAAACCCAGAATCCATAAATAGAAACTAATTTAAACAAATTGAAGCTCTTACAAGAACATCCTGTGGAAGAGATTCGATGGCAGATTTTTCATTGTACTCGTCAGAAATCATCATCATCATTCTCTCACCGCGTTGCCTTTTCAATAACGGAACATTGGTCGAAGGATCAAGAGGCAAAGATTCAACCCTTTTCCTCCCCAATCCGTGTGTGTAACTCACAAACCCTAACACTAAATCTTCTTCTTCTTCTTCTTCTTCTTCATTCACACTAACATGGTCCAACTTCAGTGACGGACTATGGTATAAAGTGAACGAACCCAATTCCATTACTAAAAAACTCCAAACTCTTCCAATAATCTGAATCAAACCCAGGGTAAAACGAACTCAAAAACTGTAGGCTTCACTCGGGAAACTGAATCCACAAATGAATAAACAAAATCTAGAAACAGTTTCTTAAATCTCAAAACCCAAAAAAGAAATCTTTAGAGAATCAATAAGCCGCACCGAACAGAAACTGAATCTGGGGCTTTTTATGGTAAAGATTTGGGGAAGAAACAAAACCCTAAATTTCTAAATTTGATCGGAGATGATACTGGTTTTCTGCAAGGAAACAAGGGACTTGCCTTGCATAAGTAGAGTTTGCTTTCAAACTGTGAAGTTCTCTCTATATATCCGCTAAGGGGAAAAAAATCTACGCGTTGTTTTATTATTTTTACCACTAGAAATTACTGGAGGATTCAGATAAAAAAGGATAAATCCTTCGATTATTTTTAATTTCACCCGTGTGTGTTGGGTGTTAATTCCGAAACTAGCCGTTAAGAGGGGAGACGTGGAGAGAAATTAGGTGAGGTAGGAAGCAACCTGTGTGGTGCTGATGTGGAGATAAGTTTGGTCCAACCGTCCAAGTTGGCTTGCTGTGGTCTGCTTGTGGAACACGTTTGTTGTTTGTTCACTTGCGGGTGTCTATTAAAATTAGATTTAAATCCACTGTTTCTTTGGTTTATTTGATAAAAAATGTTGAAAATTTAATAGAAAGAATAATTACGCATAATATTCAATTCATCGTTGAATCAGTTTGATAGAGTACATCTCGAGAGCGATGTTGCTAATGTTGTCGGACATCAATGTCTTGATTGATATATTGGTGATCAATTTGTTTTATCTCACTGAAGTATGACACTTGTTGCACCACAATAATTTGTTTCCATTAAATTCGGCATTTTTAAATTCGATTTTTTTAAAGAATAATAATTTCCCTTATTATTAAGGTCATGCATGTTAGTACGTGAAATAGGAGACACATGTAGGGTGAATATGAGACGAGTAAGGGTATTTACTGCAAACATACAAATGAGAAGCGAGTGAATACATCTGACGGTGGCCGGCTGACGGCCTTTGGTTTGTTTTGACCGAATGCTAGTTATTCTAATTTAGCGGCTGGGTTATTAGCCGGTTTTACACGGCTGGCGTGTCTATCAATTTGACGGTCAACACACGTCAACACGCATCACCTTAGTAAAGTTAAGCGATTTTTCCGAAAAATTACATTTTTTTAATATATTTATATGTCAGTCACAGAGAAATATTACGGATTTAACACCCTCATGCCACGTGTAAAAATCGAGTGCTAGTTTCATAAATTTTTTTAAACGGTGCCTACTCTGTAAATATTTTACATTAGGGTAATTTTTGTGTAAAAATGTCAATTTTTTTATTTATTTTGTGTGTGTGAAAAAAAACTTTCTACATTAAAATCTTTAAATATTATTTTACAAATAATTTTATAACTCGAATTTTTTTTATTTTTGCATGAAATTACACAATACGTATAATTTACTATAGGAAAACTTTGAGGGTAAGTAATTTAACATATGAATAATTTTATAAAAGTTTTATAATTAGTATTTATTTTACAAAATGATGATGATGATAAGAAATATTTTATAATTTAAAAACTTATAAATTTCATATATTTTTTTAAAAAAATTGACTTTTAAAAATAATTGTTTAAAAACATAAAAAAATATTAAAATAAACTTTTAATTACAGTTACGAGATCAAATGAATTATTATTTTTTAAAAATAATTAATAATGTTTATTCATTTTTAATAAAATTAGAATTGCAAGATCAAATAAAGTTTTAATTACAATTGCGTGATCAAATGAATTATTATTCATTCATGATTAAAAATGAATAAACATTATTAACTGTTGTTAAAAAATAATAAATAATGAATAATAATTCATTTGATTCCGCAATTGTAATTAAAAGTTAATTTTAATATTTTTATACTTTTAAACAATTAATTTTAAAAGTCAATACTTTTTTAAAAAATATATGAAATTTATTATTTTTTAAATTATAAAATATTTCTTATTATATCATTATCATCATCATTTTGTAAAAGAAATACTAGTTATAAAACTTTTATAAAATTATTCATATGTTAAATTACTTACCCTCAAAAGTTTTCTTATACTAGATTATACGTATTGTGTAATTTCATGAAAAATCAAAATTTGTCGAGTTATAAAATAATTTGCAAAAGAATATTTAAATATTTTAATGAATTTTTTTTGCACAAATCAAAAAATAAAATAAAAAATTGATATGTTTACACAAAAATCACCATAATAGAAAATATTTACATATTAGGTCCATTTTAAAAAAATTACGAAACTAGCACCTAATTTTTACGCAATGCATGGGTCGCGCCTTTCAACACGTGGTGCCAGATCAGCACAAGACACGATGCATGGACCGCATCTTTCTACAAAATATGTTAAATCTGTAATATTTTTTTACACATATATATATTTAAGAAAAATATACTTTTTCAGAAAAATCACTATAAAGTTAAGAGTTAATCTATAAAGAAAATGTTTTTTGTACGTTTTGACAGTAAACACTCGCAAGTTACGGCGAGTGGGTTTTTTCTTTCTTTTTTTTTGTTTGGGGGGTTGGGGGCGTTTTTCCCGAAAAATCACCTTTTCCAAGTAATATTCTCGATCAGGCACCGTTCAGACTGTATTTCCCGATCTAACACCTTTTGCAGAAAGGCACGCCCCCTGTAGAGCGCTTTATACTGATTTGGTGCCACGTGGGGTAAGGCGCGCCCCCTGCAGCGCGCCCCCTGCAGCGCGCCTTATGCTGACATGGGATACACGTGTGTAAAGCGCAGCCCCTAGGGCACGCGTTAGGCCACGTATGAGTATAACGCGGGGCAGGGGCTGCGTCTTACCTATAAATCTGCCACACGTCAGAAAGGCACGCCCCCTGCGGCGCGCCTTAGGTATAATTACCCACATACCCCGACACTTCACACCCCGATTCCTCCCTATAAATACCCCCATCCTCAATCACTTTCATCACACCAAATTCTCTTAATTTCTCTCAACTTCTCTCAAATACTCTTATAATCTTTGTCTAAGGTAGATTTTATTATATTTTTAATATTTTGTATTTAATTTATTTAAGTTTTTAATTTATTTAATATTTTACTTAATTAATTTTTTTGCAGATATAAAATGGAAGACGGTCTACTTCGCTTGGATGAAAATCATATATCTTGACACTTTGCTGATACGATAACATTTTAACGTTTTTAATTTAATTTAAATTATTAGTAATAATTTGTTGATTTATTTAATGCATGATTATTAGATTAAGAATTAATTTTTGTAATTATTTAATTTTAGGAGAAGGACTGTGTATTAGATTCTTTTATTAGGAATCTTAAGTTAGTGATATCTAGCAGTGTATTGTCGTATTTAGTAGAGGTTGGATTCGGTTATATAGGTAGATATCAGGGTCACTGTAAAATAGAACCATACCTTATTTCTGCCTTAGTAGACCCACACATTCAATTTTCCGTGCGGAGAGTGCACGGTTACACTTGAGGATGTTGCTATGCACCTGAGGCTTCCGATGGATGGAGATGTGATATCAGGGATTGCGCAGGGTTCTTGGACTACTTTGTGCCGGGAAAATCTAGAACGTGTCCCGAAAAATTACAACGGTGGTCGGATATCGTTAAATTGGTTAGATGCCAATTTTCGAGAGTTGAGCGAGGACGCCTCTGATGATGAAGTTAAAATGTATGCACGGGCATGCATACTGCAACTGATAGGAGGGTTGCTGATGCCGGACAAATCGCGCAACCAAGTTCACTACATGTGGTTGCGACATCTTGGCTACTTTCATCTGGTCGGATCACTCAGTTGGGGCTCGGTAGTTTTGGCTTTATTGTACAGGGAGATGCGTCGAGCCACTGACTACAGGAGAAATGCTATAGGTGGATGTCTCCTACTGCTGCAGGCTTGGGCATGGTATCGATTGCCCTTTTTATATCTCGTTGTCAATAACCCATTCGTATTTCCGCTACTATTGAGGTAATTATAAAATTGATTTCATTTATTAATCATTTTATACAGTGTATAATAAATTTTGTTTTCCTTAAATAGGTGGTATACTGATAGGAAAAATCATCAGGAGCTACCTGATGATTTAAAAAAAATTAGTGTGCTAATTGATCAGAAGACTGTCACACAGGTATGCATTTTAATGTTTAAAAATCGATTTTTGATTATAGTTGTATAATTAGATTATTATTTTGATAAAATATTATATAGATTTGTTTTAGTTTGAATGGGTGTCATATTCTAATGATAATGTGCGTATGATGATCCCACATGAGTTGAGTGGCCCATTAGATGTTTGGATGGCGATGGTCCCTTTGATCTGTTATGCAGACGTCGAGTGGCACTCCACTGATCGCGTGTTCCGGCAATTTGGTTGTTTTCAACCAATTTCGGAAGCACCTCGCAATATGGACGAGTTGCATAGCACAGATAGACTCAGCAAGACCGATACAGATTGGCTGGTGAGGCATCATGAGTGGGTCGTGCTGTAGGAGGGTCGACATCGGCGCCTTCCCCGTAGAGAGCCCATTTTTACTGACCTCTTGATGGTTGTTGACAGTTATTATGAGTGGTTCAACAGTAATGGGAACTCGTTTATGTTTCCCGAGGATGCACGAGGGTGGATATTTCCATGACGTCGACATAGACGTTCACCACCGACACAGCACCATCGTCCCCCGACTCGTGGACATAGAGTAGGTGCTTCTGGTTCATCCTCAGCTGTACCAGCAGGACCTTCACAGTAGTCACCGTCTACAGCGACTTACATATCGCAGCCATATATTATGCCGCCACCGTCATTCCCTTACCCGATGCCGCCACCATCACCTGGTTTTATGACCCCGTCGTCGCCACCTTCACAGAGTTATATGACCCATCCTGGTGGCTATTATGGGTCTATGTTTGTAGATTCGACTTGGGGTTCATATACTGGATATTTGGCGGGTTCAGCCTCATCACCCATGGCCGCAACACAGACACCTCCTGTACAGTTTTCACACTCAGCGATGTCTGGGTTTTATGAGTTTTCCCATTTTTCGTAGGCCGGTGGGATAGTCAGTCATACACCTCCACGGTCCTTATTCTATGGAGGTGCTTCATCGTCATTAGCTCCTCATCAACAAAATTTAGCTACTTAGGAAGAGGACGATGACGACGAGGACAACGATGATGATGGTGATGATGATGACAGCGAGG